TCTGGCTGTCTGCCCATCTGCCGCCTCTTTGTCCTGTTTGCTCCGTTACTCCCATGCCCTGGTGCGTAGTGCCTGGTGCTGGTACGTTACCCTTTGATTTTTTCTATAGGCGGGTGTGGGAAGCGTCCCCCTTTATTTTTGTTCTTGTAATATTTCGATCGGTTTCCGAGGGCTCTTTTCTCGAACGGTCGGTGCGATATGTACCTGTTCTTTTCTTTCTATCATTTTGTTTTCCTTTTCCGAGTGGTTTGTACCCTATTTTTGTTTTGTTTCCCCGCGGCGTCGTATGTGCCGGGTTTTGAGACCACGGGCTCCCCATTTTTTGTGGACTATGGAGCTAATGTGAGAAACAACAACAACATTGTGTCGATGGGAAAATGTCCAAGTCAGGAGAAAAAGTATTGACCCAAGGAGATCCGAACCCGTGTCCAGCTGACGCCATTTATCGAAAGGTGTACCGATTCAGGTAAATGTCATTTGACAGATACCCTGCGAATCGGGTCCTGCTTAACAGTATCCCGATTTAACCGCTTTGCAAATGGTTACCTGAGTGGACCTATCGCCTGGCTCATGATGTACGAGAAGAATCTTCGACTTCAGTATCATGCGGATACTGAAGACAATCGCCAAAGAAGAGCCACAAGACTTGCGCATGAAAGAGGGGGCATCACGAAAGCTGCCAGTGCCTTAATATCCCCAGCACCTTCACCACGCAACAAAGACACTCCGGATCATCTTCGCAACCTACACCCTAACGAAGATCCTGACGATATTGCTACTGCGTGGGATCCCAGCATCAAAGCTGCGGGAGTTCGTATAAAAACACACAAGATAGACTCCGTCGCCGAAGCTGATGAACCATTCGAAATCAAGTTTATCAAGCAGACGGTAAACAAAGTCAACCCTCAGAGTGCTCCGGGGCCTGATTGTCTTCGTTTTTCGTATCTCCAGGCTGGTGGAATGAGTGATTTTTTTACTGAAACCTTGGCGGACTTCAGCTTAAATGTCTCCTACTACGGAGACGAGCTTCCGGTTTTCTTTTGGAACCTCCACACCAGCGCCACAACCTTTCGGCGCTGGGAGATAAAAAACGGTCGATTGTAGTTGGAGGGGTTTTGCGTCGCATCATCAGCGGCAGCTTCTGCCGCCAGTGCAAGGGAGGGATTGCTAAGATCTTCGAAGCAGCAAACCAGTTCGGAGGTTGTGTTGCAGGAGGAGTTGAGATAGTGGCTTCCACAGCAGCCCTCAGCCACCAGCAAGGCAGCACCATTCTCTCCTTTGATGGAAAAATTGCTTACAACAGCATGCGCAGATCTTCCATATTGCCAGCAGTGGCCACTCATACGCCACACTTGGTGAAGTACTTCGGGAACATCTACGCTCGAACCAAGGCGAAACTTCTGTTCAAAATGGAAGATGGTTCGATCGAGGTTGTTCTTTCACAGCGCGGAGTTCAACAAGGCTGCAATTTGGGAGGGTTTGGCTTCTGTGTAGGACTTCTTGATATCATGAAAGAGTTCAACAACAAGCCACCAGTGCCAGGAGTGAAACTCATCGGATACGTCGACGANTGCGCGGAGTTCAACAAGGCTGTAATTTGGGAGGGTTCGTCTTCTGTGTAGGACTCCTGGATATCATGTAAGAGTTCAACAACAAGCCACCAGTACCAGGAGTCAAACTCATCGGATACGTCGACGACCTCCAAGCACATCTTCCACCAGGTTTGGCTAGGAACATGCAGGCCATATCCACTGTAACGAATTGGATTCAGGAACGTCTCTCCCAAAAAGGCATTGAGCTCAGTCTCCCGAAATCCAAAGTGCTTTTCCCGGAAGGTCTTTGCATGTNTGTAACGAATCGGATTCAGGAACGTCTCTCCCAAAAGGGATTGAGCTCCGTCTCCCGCAATCCAAAGTGCTTTCCCGGAAGGTCTTTGCATGTCCTCTTTCTTTGACAAACGACGAACAGCAACAGTCTACGAAAGGTGGTCTGTCAGTTGCTGAAGGTGGCATGCCAGTAGTCGGGATCCCAGTAGGAACAGAGGAGTTCCAGAGGAATTTCGTTTCCAAAATCGCCCGTGGTGACCCGGCGGAATCGATACTCCGCCTAGTAACGCTTGACGACCCTCGAGCCAGCTATCAACTGCTGCGTTTATCTGGTGTGCCACGTTTGTTTCATCTGCTGAGGACGATTGCACCG